TGGCATGGCAGGCAACCCTAGAACCCGCTAGGGGGGGGCAGAGCCTAAACCCTAGGGGGGAACCCGGGGAAAAGGGACACTGCACACATCCGGCTGGGTCACACTGGCAGCCACACTGATCAGCAGAGTCAGCAAGGCCTTTCACGTCACCACATCTTCCAAGACGGTTTAAAGTAGTACGTCCATCAGCGTCGCCATCAATCATGCTGTTGGGGTTGTAGAACTGGCCGCCGTCGAGCCGCCCATGGCAACAGCAGTGCGATGCGGGGGCCCCGGGGGGCCCAGGAGGGCCGGTTTTGGGCTGGGATTCTTGGGTTCCCTTCCCACTTTTTGTTGGGCTCTCGGCCTCTTGTATGCCACTGGCTTTTGATGTCTTTCTTGACTCACACACATTCTTTTGGGGTTCTTGGGTCCCGCCCTTTATTTTTAGGGGACTTCAAGAAGCTACCTGCGAAGGCATCGTCCTGAATCGGCGCGACATTGGTGGAGCACTGGCCGCCACTGGCTGCAGGGCATGCCTCACCATGAAGAACGAAATCCTCGAGGCTTTCGGTAATGGCACCAGAATTGGCTTGTGTAGCATAATACCAGAACTCAGCATCCAGAGAGGCCTCGAAAAGATTCGGGGCCGAGCTTCCATCACTCAAAATTACAGCAGGCTGTGCGCTGCTCTCGCTACCTCCACCAGTTGATTCCGCCAGAGGGAAATTCTCCGGCAAACCAAAATGCATGAGCACGGTCGGCAAAGAATGAAAATCATGCTCTGAGGTTTCACAGAAAATATCACTTGTGCACTCAGCTCGCTGAGGGTTCGCATGAAGAAAAGCAGTGTTGATTTCGTCGGCTGTCGGGCCACACACTGCCTGCACTACGTCGTCGATGCACATGTCGTCGCTTTGATCGTCGTCTCCTGTGGGACGGCCAAGGCCTTCCCGCTTCAGCTCATTGTAATCTTCTGGATCCTGTGCCCACGTTGACAAAATGCCAAAGGAGCCCTCGCAGAACCAAAGCATGCTAGGCATCACACCCCTAGCCAGCATGCACCGAAGATCACTTTCCGCCTTGCGCAGGCGTCGCTCTCTGTATTTCACGATGAAGTCCGCCAACCTGTGAATGGCTCGCATGTCCCCATTTCCACCTGAGAGGTGGCCCCTGACATGTTTGGCATTCACTTTGGAGACTTCAAAGGGCACGAGAGGTAGGCTCGGGCCGCTGCAGCAGTCGAGGTGGGCCGCCATGGCCCGAAGCTTCTTTCTGATATGATATTCGTAGGTGGACATGCCACCTGAAGAGGGAGCCATGGCTGGATCCCTCCCGGCCGCCAGCAATCTTAGCCGCCACTACCCTGGCGTTGCCCGCTTTGGAGCGCTTGGAGCTACTTGCTGAAGCCAAAGCTCTGTGATGCGAACGTTTGCAAGATCTGAAAGGGTCTGTAATTTTTGGTGCCGCACTGACAGCAGCGTCGAATGGAGCGGGATGGCAGTACCTGGCGGGGTGGATTTAAATTTAAGGTCTTCTGTAAGATGGTGCCGTAGTTGGTGCCACACTTCTGGTGATATCGAATAATTCGTTGCTGCCGGGCTGAACAAATCGTGATAGAAGGTATGCAGCAGTGCTTTCATCGAAGGGAAAAGGTGGCAAGCCCAAAGTGCCAGGCCAACAAACCGTTCAAGATCCTTTTTGGAAATTTTTGGCTTGCGCTGAAGATCCTGAACCATCCCTAATAATTTGAGGCGTTTTTGCTCCTGCAACAAGACGACTCCCGCGGTATAATCAAAGTCCCAACCTATCCATTGAACCCGACTATGCAGTTGGAGTTTCCGCCAGGATAAGGGAAGGCCAATCACCTGAAAGAAAAGGCATATCATGGCTCCTGTCATGGGCATGATCGCCGCCAGTTGCGAGAACAAATAATCATCCACAAACAAGTGACCCGTGTGGCTAATGAAGATGAGCACATGTAAAATGCGAAGGATACATGATCCCAATCTGCCCCACCAGTGCTGAGCGAAGACTGCACCGAACGGTGCCACGCGATAGAAATAAAGATCATCATCCCAAGAGAATCCAAGCAACCCATGTTCGGCAGGTGTTACAAAGACCCTTTTATGGGCGGATTTCACGTCCAACGATATGGCCGATTGCCGAGCGTTGCACTCGCGAAGTGGGTAGCTGTTGATCACGTCCCTTGCAGATGGCATGTGCTGGCTTTCTGGGACGTCACGTCCCACAAACCGAATTGTCAAGCACTAGTCTTTCCGCACGCCCTGGAGCACGTACTACAGAAAGCTTCCCTATTGCGAGAGCAGGCCATTTTGCTTTAGCTTCGGCAAGAGATCCCTCAAACTTATAGCAGAACCCTTGATTGATTTCTTCTTCAAGGAGCGCTTGCGTGATTGAGGGCTCGACCGATGCTGAACGCCAGTTCTGCATGTGGATCGTTAAGGGAGCATCTTCGACGTTGGTTTTTTGATTTGGCCAAAAGCAGTGGGAAGGCGGAATATCGTTGTTGTAGCCTGTAGGCACACCACGTTGCAAACATGGGAACAAACTGATATCCGGGTCACCGCAGATGCCTGCAAGTTTCTCAAGAACATGCAAGGCCAGGGGTTGGTGTTCCCGAATCCGCCAAATTTGATTATCCTCGTGCAACCCCAAGCTTGCAAGAAATCCCTGCCTAACCTCTGAAACCTCGGACTGTGTGAATAATGGTTCGGGACTGGGCCATGCTGCCTTTGCAAGAAGACGCTTGTCACCTTGCATGCGGGCGACACAGCTCAACAGGTAGGTACGAAGCGGTTTCAGCTTATCGGAGCACAAAGGGCTGCTCCAGTCGCCACAAGAGTGACGCCCTGCCCCGTCATGGAGAACCCAAGGTTCTGCCTGGATCTTTTTGACTGGAATCAAAGCCGAGGCTGAAGCAATTGTGTGATCTTCCGAAGGGCCCGAGAGCAGGGGTCTAATGTGTAAAGCGAAGGTTTCTGCCAGTGGTTCTGGATATTTGGCTGTATCTCTGCTCCGAAATGTGCCTGACTCGGAGCGGCCTTGCATAACTGGATGAGCACCTCGCCCATGCGAGCACGTTTGGCCCATGAGACCGAGTGTCTTGAAGCTGCTGGCAAACAACCATGTCTTTTGCCAGTTTGCCCCAAAAGCACATGCTGCACAAAGGACAAGCACGACCGAACCTGCATGGAGCCAGCTTTGCGTACATGGCTCCTCCCATGACATGGCCCCTGGGGGTTGTTCCACATGCGAGTGACCTCCTGCCGCATGCACGACTTTTGCGCACTGACACGCTCGGGATAGCACCTCATGGCTTTCCTGAACACGAGACTGGGCTTCTGCAGGGTTGCCAGGAATTCCATCAAGAAATTCAGGTGTCCGGATGGCATATGGTTTATCACCCCTAAGTTTCAAGCGGCTGTACTCAGAACAGCAGGGTGAGGAGGCGCAATAACCCACTATGCCCGAACCACAGATAAACAAGAGTTGCTCGAAGAAGTCGTTGTTCAGAATATCCATAGTGGGGTCCAAAAGAATGTCAATGGACAGCACTGGCAAGCTGAGTGCAGCGACTGCTGACGATAGCGGCTTGTCTAGACCTGAACAAATATCCAAGAAAATCCTTGAACCTGGTTCCTGGGGAATGGGAACGGACGTAGCCCGAGGCATTTGCTTAGGGGGGTCCGGGACTACCTTTAACCTATGGTTGGTAAATCCGAAAGGCGTGGCTTTGCCCCAGTTGATTGGGGAACCTGCGATTGGAGATGGACGCTGCTCGGTGCCTGATGAAGACGTGACTGCTGCTGGAGACGCCTGCTTAACAGGAGTTTTGGCTTGCTCAGCTTCCGGAGAGGCCAAGCTCGACTGCGTGATAGTTGGGAAACCCAAGTCTGGGAGCCCTGAATGAGAAACTGAGGGAAGCGAAAAGCAAGTGAGAACCCATCTATCCCCCAACCATGGCTCTGTGCAGTGCCACAGATTACATGGGAATTTTTTAGGGGCATGCCGCGTGCAGGTGTAGGACCCAAGGAGGGTTTTACCCAGAGCAGGAATGAATTTTTCGACTGAACCCGAGGGATCCTCTATCCAGAGGCGCCCGCCTGAAAAGGTTCCGACGCTCACTGACAGATTGGAAGAATGCTTCAAGTTGGCTGAATCCCTGTGTGGGGTTGTCAAGACATTTCTGCTAACGCATAAGGAGTTCCATGTTTCCCCTGGAAAACACTGCTGAAGGAATTGATTTAGTTCGATACAAAGTTCCGGCAAGGCTGTTGTGACACTGGTTAAGGTGTTCCTGTGGCTAATCTGAACTCCGAAGTTCCAATAACCTGAATCGGAGTGAGCCGTTGAGGCTGCCGCACGGTCTGGGGCAGCACGTGCTGGCCATGTTGCTGCCATCAATGCCGCTGCACAAGACTCAAAATCATGAATGCACGATGCGCCCGATGATGCAACGAAAACTTCGCCCGGCTGCACGCCGGATCCCAATGCCTCCGAACCTGCGGGCCTTGATCCCAACACCGCAAGGGTGCTGTGGGGAACTCCCAGCATGGGAGGAACAGACGATCCCACACGTGGGATTCCTTGCGCAAAGGTGGAATCCGAAAAACCTCGAGCCTGCGGACCTGGAACGTATGCCGTGCCGCTTGCCTGAGGACCTGACTGCTGCACTCGAAGTCTTTTTGACTGCTGAGAATGCAAATTTAGTGAATCGGGATTGTGCTGCAAAAGCGCTGGGGCTTGGTCTGAAGAATTATGTGGTGAAACCGGAAGGGGGTGAGGATCCGAAGAAACCACCCCTGGCATGCTTATGGGATTGGGGCTCCGGGCTAAGTCAGTGTGGAGTGCTCTCGTGCTGCAGCGCGGTATGCGTCTTGCTTCCACAAGCTTGCCCATTGGGTTTCGGGAAGGCACAGGCGTGTATGAATGGACACGCGTTTCCACGATTGCAACGACTCAGTTGCCAATTCACACACAGTGGTTTGGACTCGGACCCCACCATAATGGACTTCACAAAGTTGATATTGGAGCCGCCTTTAGCCTCTTTGGACTTGCCTTTGTCCTTTCCCTTGCCTTTCATAGCCGCTTGGGATGCGTAACCCTTGGCATAGGATTCCACGAGCATCTTCCCTAGACCCTTGTTGGTTTTGCCTTTCCCGTCCCAGCCTTTGGGAATGGGAGGAGGACGCGCTCGAGCTTGAAGAAGACTGGGCATCTCGCCCCTGACCTCTGTAAATTCATAGAGTGCATCATCCATAGTCCAGCCTTTGTCGGTGACCAAGGTGATCATGCCCTGCCACAAGCGGCAATCAGCCTGTTGTGCTTCAAGTACTGATGGTGGCCGTAAGCCCGATGATGCGTCGAATTTTTGACTCAGCAGTGAAATGAACTTTGTCGTATAGCCCTTCAACCTGGCGAGATGGGCCGTGCCAACCATTGCCAAGGATACGTCATGAACATTCATAAGCTTCTGAATAGCATTCACCCCCATAGAGTGATCCTGGATTTCAAGTGCAGGAGGTTCGTCAAGCAACATACCAGAGAGCCCGATGGCCTCAAGCCGTGATTGCTTGTTAGGGCGAGACATCAGAATCTCTGATGCTCGCTCTTCCGTCATCCTGAACTTCCAGGGGATCCAGCGCCAATCCTTCTTGTTCTGCTGGTGGGATGCGAGGCTTAGCAACCTTGTTGACGGCTGGGTGGAATAGTTGAGGATCTCGGACGGGTAGTTCACCAGATACTTACGTTTCATCTCGGAAATCGAAGAGGATGATATCTTTGGGGCAAAAGATTCCACCCATGAGCCTTCACGAGGTTCTGTTGCGGCAGGGGTTGGAGATTCTGCTGAGCCGGAGGCCCCAGATTCCTGCAAAGTACTCCAGACAGAACGAATTGTCGCTTTCTGAAGAGCTGTCAGCACCTTTTCCGGGAAAATTTCGCCCAATACAGAGTCTAATTCTTCCAGTTTACTGACAGCATGCTTGAAAGTAGATGACTTCCAACCGCTTGCAACAGCGAGATCGGCCAGCTCGGAAGAGAGGCCTTCTGATTTCAGAAGCTCCGCCAGTTCCATGGCAGGTACTCGTTTGTACTAGTGGGAATCCTAATGACTATGGCATATGAGCGCAACAAAAAGGAGTTACCAGATAACCCTAAGAGAATGGTACACGCTATCACATAAGGGACATTTGAGCAGCTGTCCTGAGGCCACCCAGAAACTTGTAGTGTGCATGCGCCTGACAATTGTGGCCTAGCAGCAGCAGTGTGCATGATGGCTGAAATGCGCAACCGGCCGACTGCAGTAGCTCGTGACCGCTTTTTTCCTGATATTCACAAATCTGAGATCCCACAGCGACCAAGGACTATGCAACATGCGCGGCGTTTGCACAAGGTGATTGCTGGAGAATACTGCTCGCACCAAGTGATATTATCTGCTTCCAAATAAACGCCACAAACTGGTCGCAGCTTTTGACCTCGAAAGGTGATCCCAAAAGGCCCTGAGGTAGGCACCATCGCATGATGAACACCTGTGCTGGATGCGAGCACAAACTCCTCTGCATCTCCTAAGTCGGGGAGATTGGGCGATTCGTCGCCGCTGCTGTCCAGTGATTCCTCATCTGATGACTGAACATCCCAAAGTGGGGCTGGGACGACTGGCTTGGGTATCTCTGATGTTTTCTCGAACTCAGGCAGATGTAATCCATCCTGCATAACAAACTGAGGGAAATGTTCGAACGGAGTGGAATCTGCAACCTTGCTGAATGATTCGATCTGCACTGGTGGCTCCTCCAGAGGGTGCTGAGAGCCACGATGAAGCGGGGTCATGAACCGAGCGCCACCGGTTATGGCGTACCGAAGTTTCTGTTGGCCCCTCAGAGCTGGAATAATGTCCTCACGCGAGTACAGCTGTGACGAGCTGAGCCTGTGATGGCCCTGGCATTGTTTCTCGATTTGCTGGACTTCAGGACGCTGACCCATCCAAGATAAGAGGGTGGTTTTCATGGAGTGCACTGTATAATTAAGTTGGACTTCATGGGGGACGGGTACCTTCTTTCAGAAACCTGATGTTTTACAAAAAGGTTGAGTGATATCAAATATCACGGACTTCAATCATATAAGACAGAATCCTTCAAATAATATTGGAATATATTTCAATACCAAGAGTATAAAGTATCAGATCCTCACAATATATAAAAAAAGGGAGGATCCCAGGAGTTGTCGCGCCACACTCTTTTTATTCGCACGGTGATCTGGGGTGAATTCTAATTCGGGAGCCCCCACAGCTCCGGCCAAACCGATGTTCGAGCATCACGGGTTTGGCAAGCTGAGATTTTTCAAGATCAAGAGGGGTAGCGTCCCGAATGCCCCCCCGTCCTCATTGGGTGGGAGGGTGGGAAAAGAAAATTTCTTGCCTCTCACTTTGAGCAGACTCGCGGGTAGGATAGAGATCTCCGATCTGCCACGTCAAAGAAATGAGGTTCATGCAAGAAATGTTTTCCAAAAACCTCCGATGTAAAACACGGCAGCTTCACTGCCTGTCAAGTTTCCAAAAGAAAGAAAAGTCTGCAAGCAGAAAATGTTCTTCTTTCAGAAACCTGATGTTTTACAAAAAGGTTGAGTGATATCAAATATCACGGACTTCAATCATATAAGACAGAATCCTTCAAATAATATTGGAATATATTTCAATACCAAGAGTATAAAGTATCAGATCCTCACAATATATAAAAAAAGGGAGGATCCCAGGAGTTGTCGCGCCACACTCTTTTTATTCGCACGGTGATCTGGGGTGAATTCTAATTCGGGAGCCCCCACAGCTCCGGCCAAACCGATGTTCGAGCATCACGGGTTTGGCAAGCTGAGATTTTTCAAGATCAAGAGGGGTAGCGTCCCGAATGCCCCTGACATCACGCGAACCCCTGATGAAGAAATCTCTGGTTAGAACTCTCATCATGGATGAAAGCTTCTACAACCTTGGCGCCTACCAAGCTGAGTATGCTTTGCCCATCACCTCGTGAGGGAGGGTCTGCCACGTTTGAAAAGGATGGCACTCTCTCGTACCATGCAACGCAAGGAGCCTCAGCCTCAATCACTGCAAGATAGTGGGCTAAGCGATACATGGATTCGCTCTTGCTCAAACCTTTGATTGCTGATGTGCGTGCAGCTTCGTTGTCCAGCCAGAAGATGACTCTTCGGTTGCACAGGCTGTTTTGGAGCATACGACGCAAAGTGACTAAGGCGTAGAGTTCGATTTCGCATATAAGCTGCGATCCCACATCCAGCTTCCATCGCTCCAAAAGCTTAGTGGGCACACAACCAGCAAAAACCCTAGCGCTATCGTCTAGCGTGTCTAGAACAACCGCACCTATTCCAGCCCAAGGGTCTTCCCAAGCACCGTCCGTCCAGACATGGATGGGCGGTCGCGGGTCAAAGATGCGAAGGATTCTCGGTGGCGTGGTGCTCAAGACAGCCTGGGTGGTTTTGCAGAAGCGCTGTATTTCGGCAGCAGTCGGGCGTTTCCCACGAACCAAGGATAGCAGGAAGTGGCATGCCGGCTTTAGGGATCGGCCCGCAAAGAATCCAGAGGCGTAGTTTAAAAGTCCCAGGAGCACCTGTGCCTCATGCCTGCCAAGGGTACCTCGGTCAAAGATGTTACCGAGCATTTCGGCAATGCGCTTGACACGGCCTTCTTTGTTGGCTAGTACCGCAACACCCTCGTGGAGGCGGCTGACGTCCAGCTGCATTCCGAGTACCGTGAAGGTTTCTTCATACGGTTGACCCTTTATCCCGGTCTGGGCGAAGCGCCACCCCAAGAGTTCCAAGAATTCCGAAGTCAAACCGTCAAGTTCCTGGGCACCCTCTCTCAAAGCGAAGAGAGGGTAATCGTCGAAGTAGTTTGCTGAGGGGATCTTCAGCACTTTGCACAGCAAGAAATGCAGGCTTCGGGCCACCCTCACGAATCCATACACCGACGAAGTCAAGCCAAACATCAATGCGTTTGCAACAAAGAATTGTGGTTCCCCCTTCTCATTGGGATGGCAGATTACGGCAATGTCACGGTGCAGCGGTAGTACCGCTAATTGCTTGTACGCTTTCGAAAGGTCAAGGGTCCGCCCTAGCCATTGCCTAGCCGGGACACCCAGGCGGTCTGAGCGTTCCTTTTCAGCCCGGGCAATCAGCAGAGCTAGGCCTGAAACAAAGTCGGCTCCTTGAAGCTCCAGCTTGATCAGGGAAGTGAAAGCTTCGTTGACCTGGGAAGCGTGCCCATCATCTATGGGTCGGACCTTCTTTTCAAGGCCTTGCTCAAGAACAAATCTAGGAATTACGCCCCAATCCGAATGGCCGAAGATCTGAGTGACCTGTGCTTCAGTGTAGGGCCCCTCGATGAAATGTTCAGCAACCTCGGAGTTAGAGGCCTCCTGAAGAAGAGAAGTTTCCTCAGGGGTCGCACGGTTCGGTCTCGACAAGGCTGCACGGCGTCGCAAGGAGGCAGTAGCACGGAGTTCTGATTCAGTCATGGAAGCCATAGCCACCTTTGTCTTCAAGCACTCTGGTTTTTCCGAAGTCCCTACGAGAGGCACCCCCTTTTTCATCAGATCCACTACCCCCATGTCGTCAAAACCATGCTTCCTCAAAAGAGACTCCCACAGACAAATCCTTTTGCCTTTGACCACCTTCTCGAACCACGGCGGGAAGGGTGCATGAAGTTTCCGCTCGTCTTCTTCAAGGGTCTTGGCGAGGAGCTTAACTTTAAGGAGTTCTAGCTTCCTAAGCTGGTTGGCCTTGGCAGAATCATGGGTCATGCAAAAGTCGACCGCTTCCAACACTTCCGGGCCAGCAGCAATCGCTTTGTCCACCGGGTGTTGCAAAGTGTGGGCTTTGGAGACATGTTGACTCATGTCAAGCCAATGACCTACTTTAACAGGTCTAGAGCCCGCTGGATCCGAAGTTAGACCCCCACCACTGTCCCCTGCAGCGTGGGTTAGGAGGATCTTGCAAGATTTGTCAGGTTTAAATTCAGGGGTTTCCCAAGTGACCTTGTGAAACTCCGGAATAAGTGGCGCATGGCGATGGCTTTGCTTGGCGGCCGCGGCCAGAGCTGCAGCGTGGAAGTCAGTTGCTGGTGAAAGAGTCCGGCTGGACTCAGAGGCGCAGCGAGCAACACAATCGGCCATGCGGGTGCACAGCAAAGGCGGATAGCACGCACTGAGGCGGGACGACGACCACCAGGATGCATGCTCATGATCCTGGCTACAGTTCGCTGCCAAAGGAGAAAACAAGCCTTTGGAGGCCAAAAGTTTGCATTGCTTGGGGCGATCGCCCCCATGCGCGCACATGGCAAAGGTGACTTGCTCAAGCTTGCTGGGTGGCCACCTGATGTCAGCCTGAGATGCGAAGCGCTGCAAAATGTGCCACAGCAAAGAATTTGCCGGGTTTTCGACACTTACCGAAATGTTTGCTTCAAGACAGAAGCAAACGACATCGAAACAGAAGCGAAAAAGGGCATTTTCCTTCCTAAGCTTTATGCTTTCGGCAGAGGACCACCGGATGGTGGGCACACCTAAGCAGTGTTCCGACGTTCGGAGCTTGGTAAGTTGGGGGCCCTGGAGTCTACGACCGGGCTTTGAAGCTTGGCGCTGTGAGGCTGATGCAGAACCTGCAGGCACACCCAGGTGAACGTGAAAAGGCTTGCACTGTTTCAGCATGGACATGAAGACTTCACGGCCTGCTTCCGTGGAGAAGTCCAGTCCAGATTGGCCGTGGGGACCATTGCCCCAGCAAGCTTAGCGTCAAAGGCGAGGACTTTGAATCCCTTCCGAAGGCAAGCTCGAGCGAAACCCCCGGTGCCTGAAAAGATTTCGAAGATCCACGGCTCATCAGGTCGTGGGGGCTGTGTTTGCTCGGCGATCTGTAGCGGGAAACCCAAGGAGGTCGGGGGCCTAAACCCTAAGGACAAGAGGGAATGTGCCGCTTCAAGGGTGAGCTTCGACAGATCCGAGACGCAAAATGCCACAGCAATCAGCCTGTGGCCTTGCCATGGTTCAGTGCAGTGGCTTCGGGAGTAAGCCTCAAAGGTGATGGGACCAGCGGACACATCAAGCAGCTCGCCAGGAGTCGGTTTGCCGTTGATAGGACGGAGCTCCGAACCCTGTTCGCACTGGGCCCAGATGTGGCCTCCAGTGAACGATCCGATCGGAATGACACCTGTGGGGGACTTATGATTCTTGGAATCAACATGCATGGACGTACTGGAATTGCAAAACAGGAAAACTGTAGTAAAGAAAAGGTCTGGGAGCTGAGCTCGGACAAAAGCTGTGATGGCTCTGGTCGTTTGTGGACAGCTCTTACACTCTCCACGCAGACCCTGAAGCCCTCCCTGAGAAAAAGCCCCAACTCCAAAATTCGGTTGCTGAGTTCTGGCGTCGGGGCGTAGAAATCCATCCGCAACGAGATGTTCATGCAACTTTTGCAGATCAAGGCGGGGTGGTGGCGCATCGACTGAATTAAGTTTCTTTGCGAAACACTCCGAGCTCGGAGCTCGGCTTGCACGTTGGGCCAAGGGGACTGCCTCAGGAGCTGGCCCATCCCCTGATTGGCCATCTCACTGCATGCCATGCGTGCACTCACTGTACGGGTGATTCTTATTGCATCCTACTTTCCAGCACTGGTGATATCCTTTCGGGCACCTGCCTTTAACCACCTTGGCCTTACAAGTGCCCAAATTGAACCCAAAACAATTTGGCCGGTTCTGCGAGTCTCTGGCGGAACAACCTTCAGGTATTTCAACCCTAGGTGCACGACCCTTGCCCCCGCCTTTATTGCCTTTATCGCCTTTGCCTTTGACTTTCTTGGGCGGTGCATCATCATCGCCATCCTGGGGCCTCTTGGTCGGATGGGCCGGTGGAGGCGGTGAGAGCAAGGGTGACAAGAACTGAGTGATGTCATGCGACACCGACAGACGCTTCAGCTCAGAATCCAATGGCTTAGCAGCACCTACCGGTTTCTGAAGCTTGCCCTCAAGGTTATTGGCTGCACGGATGAAGAGCTCCTTATCGGCTGCTACGATCTGCGACAAGGAGACCTTGGTGTACCCCGTGGGAACCTGACGCTGGGTCAACTCAAAGATGGAGTTAACCCACTCCTCCATGACCTCAAAGGTGCACAGGTTGCCCAAGTCTAGGGCTAGCGATCGGCGAAAGAAAGCCTGCCGAAGCGCATAGGCACCATTCGTGTCGCACACCGGATCGGGGGCCTTGGTCCCGAGCTTAAGGTTGCCCTCCGGGTCAATTTGGATCGATGAATCCTTCTTGGCCAAGCTAAGCTCCTGGGAACGAGAGGTCCACCTGTTCATGGGCAGGTAGCGCAAAGAATTGTTTTCCAACATGTCGGTGACCTGGTCGATGCTCGCATGGGATGGCTGATTTGATACAGTGAAGACAACACCTTTTAAGCGAGCTTGCTGGGCTTCTTGTCTGGCCAGCCGCTCGGCCGTAGGAAGTTTCTTGATGGTGTTTTCCGGCTGGCCTTCAACTCGGGTCCTCAAGTCCGCGATGTTGAGTGACTGGCTCTCAAAGAGGAGTCGCCGGATCACAGAAACTTGAAACGCAGAGGGCCTCGGGTCCACGACCGTGGCCAACCACTCATCGATGGCCTCGTCTGTCAGGGCCTGAGGAGAGCTCGCAGCAGCAAAGGCAATTTTCCCGAAGGTGTCGTAGCCTTTTTCTTTGAGCTTCCCATACAACTCCGGTGTCATGCCGACGCGAAGACAACTTTCCTGAAACGCTGCTTCGGAGTCCAAGGTGGCTGACGTCATGGCTGCAAATGAACGCGTCAAACACCCGATCTGTGATCTTTGACCAAACACGTGACGGATGATGTTTTGTTGCATTCATCACTGGCCGTCTGCTGTGAGCCACGGCCGCAATATGGGCAGCTCAATCTTCCACCCGTGCCACGAGCCAACCCTGGCCGGCACAAAGTGATACGGTCTTCAACCATCAAGGCCAGCCCCGGGTGTCGCGTGACACCGGCTGACATTTGCATGTGGTGACTCGGACTTACAGTCATCACCGCGTTACTCAATCCCAGCGCTTCTCTCTCAAGCTAACATATGTCAAAACGGAAAGCTCCGTCGTCAGATATGTCACGCGGGCCTCGGGTGAGAAACTCACCGGCCCGGAACCCAAAAGGGGTTTGTGTGCCCAACCTTGCGTATCAGCCCTAAGCCATCAGCCCGACTGGATTACATGTACGCGGCCACGGGCACGAATGCCGGCCGATCAGCATGGACTGTTTATGGACTTAAGAGGCGCAGACAGATCTCGGCATCACCAGGTGGATTGCAAACATACGTTCCCCACGGCTTTTATCCGCGGCGTCCGGACCTGGTCAAAACTCCGATGCTCGACGACACTGAATACAAGGCTCAGGTTCCTCTTCGTCTTCAGTGGTGAAGACTCTGTACCTTGAGGTGACCGGCCTCCCGCAAAAGAAGCTTGAAGCATCCCTAAGTTTGTGTACGATGTTTGACAGGGAATGGATCATCAGCTGGTCGGCGGTGCACTCCGTAAAGGGAAGCCTAGACCCGGTAGCCTCCGCTGGGCGCCCGAAGAATTCCGCCTCGGACTCAGCGGACCTCGAAGCCAAGGACTCCAGCTCGTCGGGTTCCTCGTTCGGTGGTGCCGGAGCGTCTGGCTCCGGGCGGCTGAAATGTCTCGACGCTACAGCTGCAACCCTGTCAGAAGTCGACATGTCGGGATCGAAGTCCCCAGCCCGGATGCTCTCGAAAAGTGCAAGGAGTTTCCCAGCGAGGGAGATGTAGTACTGGCGGGAATAGATGAGATTAGATGAACCACCACGTTTGAAGTGGTGCCCGAGCAGCAACTTCTCCTTGGCACTGAAATGGACTGTGGAGCTCCATCCCACCCATGAAAGTAAGGTAGCCTTCAGACTATGTGTACCAATCGATTCGTCAGGAGAGGCCCCCATGCCAATGGTAAGAAGGAACTCCTCAAGGAGGTCCGATCCCTCCTCCGAACTCATAGGCACCGTGGCCCAGCAACCGGCACGCTGAGACCAGGACGGAAGGCACCCCGCTGAGAAGTCAAGGCCTTCAGCAGCACGAGCCTGTAGCCACAACTCCGCCCAAGGTTGGCCGCTTGCCCCTCCAGCCACGCATACGTAGGGCAGAAACTTCGTTTGGGCGTCAGCCGTCAAAGAAGTCTTAGAGCCTAAGCCTGAAGCAATAAGAAGTTGCCCACGGCCTTCACCTATCAGCTCGAGTTTCTTGACTTTTTGAGCATCCGCCCACCGGCAACATGAATGCACGCAGAAGAGCATGAGGCCGAGCACGCATTGCAGCCAAGTTGAAGTCTTGGTCATAAGCTCCTCCAAGGCTTTAACCCTCGCATACGACAAGGGGTCTCGCTGCTTGAGCGGCTCCTTGTTAAGTCGCATGTCTCTGGCAATGCCCCGCACCCGTGATGATAGAATGACATCCAAGGACATGAAGTTGAAAACAGCCACCCCGTGCAGAAACCCCAGCGCTTCCACAAAGTGTGAGGCAGTCGAGGCCTTGGCATCCGAGCTGCGAAGCTTGTTGAAAATCTCGTAGGCCTGGGGCTCGGTCAGGCGCCAGGGCGACTCGAAGCCTAGGTCATAAGCCATGATAGCCAAAGATTGCAGCGAGAGAGCTCGTTTCTGAATTGTTGTGGAGGCCTTGGCCCTAAAGGCATCCGCCAGACTAGCTGCAATCACCTCGTCAGGCTCCAGACCCAATCCTTGTTTCAGCAGGCTTGCCCCAAGGCGAGTCGCTTCCGGGTCTAGCAGTATCAAGACCTTGAAACGCTTCAAGGCCCCATCTCGAATGTCATCGTCACTTTTGGTCAATCGAACACGCGTCAGGCGACGCACCACAGTCCATGGAATTTCACTTGCTGCTTCCGGTGCAGGCTCCGATGAAGACGCTGCTCCCATAAAGACTTCCCTCACTCCCACTGCAGGCACAAAATTGAAAATGTCATCGTAGGACTTCTGAAGAAATGTCTTGGGCTGGCTCCAAGGCAGCGAGGGCAGGTCGAGTCGTCTCTTCTTGCAGAAGGCCACCGTGGCGGCCTGTCTCGCATCATCATCAGCAGCAGCACCACACAACCAAGAAGCCGTCTCCCCCCCCTGAACAATGTCAGGAGGAAGGGCTCCACGAAGTCCCATCGGAGGATCTGTCTCTCCTACCTGCGAGTACCATTCCCTTTCCTCAGCAAGGGAGGGTTCGTAAGCTAAATCAGAAGGTTCCCTATCCAACGAAGGATGGGTGGCGAGACTCCCAAGATCAAACTCTGAAAAACCCCTCTCCTCAGAGAATCTGAACTCCCGAGGGCTGTTGCCCTCCTGTTCCCTCGCATGTAGCAGGTTCCAAGGGGAGCCCGAGCAGCCCTGATCGAGGTCCTGGTCTTCGTCACTAATCTCAACGGATTGGCTAGGCAGATCCCCAACCGACCCCCTGAAGTCCCGAAGTCCCCTAACACCCCCTGGCAGAGACTCGGGACTGGCTGAAGGCAGGTCCCCCAGCGACAAAGGAGGCTCAGGTGGGAAAGGTGCCGGCTCAACCGGAGTGGAGACCTGCTGCAAAAGTTGCCCTGTCACAGGGCAAGTCACTGGCACCTGCTGAGGCGCCGGAAGCGTCCCGTCCATCTAGCACCCCCAACGGGGGGGCACTGTGCACGCAGCTAAAGCCTTGAGATTAGCACCTGGAGGCTTCTAGCTTGCACAATACGGGACTCTAGAGGCCTGAAAAGAAAATTTCTTGCCTCTCACTTTGAGCAGACTCGCGGGTAGGATAGAGATCTCCGATCTGCCATGTCAAAGAAATGAGGTTCATGCAAGAAATGTTTTCCAAAAACCTCCGATGTAAAACACGGCAGCTTCACTGCCTGTCAAGTTTCCAAAAGAAAGAAAAGTCTGCAAGCAGAAAATGTTCTTATGTTTTTTCCAAGGAAGAGTGATAGCATAACGAAGGTGCCGAAGTGCAGCAGCGTACCCCATAGCCTGCAAGGGGTACACAGGATCCCCTGATGCCCCAATCGAGAGCAAGAGGCTCGAAGGCAACGGATGATCCGGGTGAAGGCTGCTGTGCATGCATGCTACTTTGTCCAATGTCCGAAGAAACCGATGCACCCATGTAAAAGATCCGTAACTGAGCAAACCCTGGCAAATCACCCCAAACGGTTGTCCTTGTGATGTGGTCTTAGTTTGGTAGCATGAGCCCCTCAATGTGGAGCCGTCATAGGACAATGATCGCCAGTGGACTCTTTGTCCGTCCATAAACCGAAGAGAACCCCAAATAAGGATCAAGAATCCCCCAAGGATAAGGACTTCTGAGTCCGTGGCTTCTTGCATCAGCAAGCGTCGCTCAAAATGCATAACGACATAAAGAGACAAGGGCACAGCTTCCTTGCGTTCACGGGGAATCTTGGATTTCAGAAAGCTGGCAATCAAGGGTGAATACGCAACTTCATAGCATGCTACTTCGAAAGTACGCTTAACCCACCTGATAGCCTTGATGGCAGTCGCTGAATGAGTTCCCGATTCCGGGTCACTGCTACGCGCCAGGCTCAAAACGACAAGAGCATCTGCAAGCTGAACCGAGGTCAAAGATTCCAAGGAAAAACCCAAATCAAGAATGGTTTCTGCAAGCGATTTGAAGGCCGAGCTGTAGCGAATCACGGTGGCTGCTACAAACATCTGAAGAATGCGACCCACGTGGTCCTGACTACTCTCTTGCAAGGATGCACCCAGAGCGCTCAAGCTGCCAAGAATGGAAAACAATGCCATAAAGGCTGCACGCGCAACTTTGCTGCGAGAAGCGTTCTCACTGATTTTTGGGGTTTTTGATCGTTCCGAAGGCATTACAGGGGGCTTAAGCTTAGAGGAACCCGGCAGGGCAGGGCCTAAACCCGAACAGGATGCATCCGAAATCGCCGAATCTCCGAAGCTTGTACGCCGCACCGATGGTGCAGGCAACGGGTCCCCGGCCGGGAACACCTCGAAGGAAACGCACGATGAAGGCTCAGGTGCCACGTCCAAACCTTTCGCGGGAAGGGCAGGAGCGGGCCTACTAGGTCTAGGGTTTGGAACTTGAAGCGGCAAGGATCTGGGGATTGACTCGCTGGCACTGGCGGAGGCTTCATGTGACCTATCATCTGGGTCTAGAGGCCGCTTCATGACTATCACAAACCTGCCACCTCCAGAAGTGCCACCCGACGCGCCAGAGATGCGAAGTTACGGCGGCTCTCTTGAAGTGCACGCAAAAGCAGAATGTTAGCTCTACGCAATTGCCGGATGCTGCGCTGCAAGCCAATGATAAGAGCAATGTCGCGCTCCACAGCTTGCAAGCGATTCTCAAGCCTATTCAACCACGTTTGAACCTGCGAAAGATGATTAGAATGCCCTGCTCGGCTGACTTCAAGTGCAAAAACACGCTGTTCAAGATCAAAGATATCTGGTGTCTGAGTGGAAGCTTCCATACACCCACACTGAAAGGAGCAGGCACGAGGACTTCTGAGAGCCCGGAACGATCAAGCCATTCACCCCACTTGTGGGGGTGCCCGCTCCCCCCCCCGGCACGAGGAGTCCTACAAAGCGAAGCAAACGTGATGTACTTTATGACTGTCCTGCTCGCCATATGACATGACACGAAGAAAATTCGCAACTGTTGCAAACCTTATTGCCGTGGAACGCATATGTCTGCTAAAACGCTTTTCGAATCCGCTAGCAAGCACAACTGTTTACTGAGCCAAAATGTTTCGCACACATAAACTATAAAACATATGTGAATAAATACACACAACAGCACTCCGATCCTGGAACTCACTAGAGGACATCCGAAAGCTTGAGCACTGCACCCACCCATTGACAATTTATAGATTTGTAGTACAACGGGATATGATTCGACGACAGCTGTTATTCAATTGTCGATAAGTGGGAGCAACACCCAAGCTACACCCGTCCTCTCTTCGAAGCTCAAACATGGTCTGCAAGCGCAAACAAAGAACACCACTTCTGAGCACGATTCCAACAGTGGAACAATTAGAGCAGATCCTAAACTTGAGGCCTTGCACACACCCATTGACAGGTGGAGGTTACTACGCACAATTAGATTTCTGTGCCTTTCTTATATCTACTCTCCAACTGTCAATGAGTGCAGGCAATTCCTCCTTACCCCAGATCATAAACCTGAGGCCTTGCACACACCCAGTGACAGTTAATACGTACAATTAGACATGTGAGCCTTTCTGTGTCTACTCTCCAACTGTCAATGAGTGCAGACGATTCCTCCCAACCCCTGTCCCACGATGGAGACTGAGCAACATGCCCCCGCTTCAGCAAGAAGAAACCTGGCGCCGAAACTTGAGCGCTCAACTCATGCTATGCAACGCCACACAACGAGCCATCTGCGAGCTTCACTTGAAGAATAACAGATAAAACGCTTTCCATATACCACAAACAATATGATATCTCAGAGCATGTCTCTGAAGTCTCCGCTGCTGTCACTCTGCCAACAGGCCTTGAAGCTGTACCGAATGACTTCCACTTTAGTCACCTTAGATGGTTTCGTTGGAGAGCGGTTTTTGTACCAGGTCTGCTGTTGTTTCAAGGTTTACGTTTAAGCACCCAACAGCACCAGTCTGCTGTTGTCACTTCGGGAATGGGGGAATTCAATGTTAACGGCTGAAAGTTGGAGCTTCCACCAGGTCTGCTGTTGTCACTCCGGGTCTGAGGCTCTGCAAACTGGACGTCTGCTTTTGCAACTTCGGGTCTAGACTTCCAGATGGTGTCAGGACCTGGGATTTCGCATACTGTTCGAGTTCGGTTTCGTCAATAGCCTGGCTACAACACCAGGCGCTTCATGTTCAAGGCCTCTAAACCCTAAACGTAACATCCTAGATCCTAAACCCTCAGATCATGTGTGTTGTTATCGCTTCGTGCGCAGGCTTCAGAGGTGCAACGTCTCAGATGTCAATTAAAGGGAATCTTCAAATCCCACGTCTGCTATTTCACATGGTCAAAAACTTCTAAGAGGACGTCTGCTGTTGCAACTTCGGCAGCTGAGGACCCCGCAAGGCAAGGCACTCTCTGCAGGTAGTGGATACCCGGCTGAGAGGTTCTGAAAGGAAAACTTTGGCAATATGTAGAATGTAGAGAATCTGCGAGTCACAGCTGCCGGACAATGGCTGTTGCGTATACAAACTGCGTGACATCTTGGGGTTTTCCGACGCCTTTGCAACAAAGCCGACCAGCACGCACTTGCTTGGCAAGCAGCGTACTGCAACCGCATAATCATAGCAGAGCATCACAAAACAATGCTTTGAGGCACGGTGCTTGCTCTCTGGCAAGCAGCGTACTGCAGCTACAAAATCATAGCACGGCATCATAAAACAATGCTTTGAAAAGCCACTACAGCATGTTACAACAACACAGCATGTTGAGCTATGATTTCTGCGCTTTGTGCGCATCAGCAGCACGTTTGACTCAGCATCACAAAACAATGCTTTCAGGCATGGTGCTTGCTCTCTGGCAAGCAGCGTACGGCAACTACAGAATCATCGCAGAGCATCATAAAACATAAAACAATTACTACAGCATGTTACAACAGCACAGCATGTTCAGCTATGGTTGTTACGCTCTGTTAGCAGAATTAGCAGCACGTTTGACTACCAGCACGTTCTTCAGGTTTTGCTGGCGGCAACCTTCTTTCCTCAGTGCTTTCGCAGCTGCGCGGGCTTCCGCTTTAGCTTCCTTCTTTTGCAAGTGCAGGCGCTGAGGTTCCAACACAGAGTTCCCCAAACCCAAGTTCCAACATAGAGTTTCCAAACCCAGGATTCGAACTCCCTGGAGGGACGGAGGGAGATGTTCCGGAACCCGGAGTTCCGGTGTAGAGTTCTCCAAACCCCAGGTTCGAACATAGAGTTCCGAACCGGGAGTTCCCAAACCCGGAGTTCGAACGTTGGAGTTCTCCAAACCCCGGGCTCGAACATAGAGTTCTCGAATCGAAGGTTCGAACATAGAGTTTCCGAACCCGGGGTTCGAACATAAAAGTTCCAGAACCAGGGGTTTGAACATAGAGTTCCAACTCCAGGTTCAACCTGGAACCTGGGTTCGAGAAGTTCGAACCCAGGTTTCAACCCTGAGTTCCGGAGTTATATGTTCTCCCCTCCCCCCCGGGTCCCCTGGGAGTTCGAACCCTGGGTTCCGGAACACTCCAAAAACCTATGCTCGGTGTTCGCTTTCCGAGTTCCAGCACTGGTCTATAAAACGCTTTTGCGAAAACAAAAAGAAGAGAAGCCACACGAAATCGCTTTATGGGGCTTTTCGGTCGAACCCCAGATTCGAACACTTTCGTTCGAACCTCGAGTTCGAACACCACTATTCGAACCGAGAGTTCAACACTAGTATTCGAATCCTAGATTCGAACACCAGTGTTCGAACCTCGAGTTCCAACACTGGTGTTCTAACACTAGTCGACAAAACGCTTTACAAACACAAAAAGAAGAAGCCACACGAAATAGCTTTACGAAGGCGTTTTGCAAAGACAAGAAAAAGAGAAGAGAACAAACACAAAAGAAGAGAAGCCATACGAAATCGCTTTATGGGGCTTTTTGCGAAGAAAAAGAAAAGGAACATTCACCAGTGTTTGAATCCCAAGTCCAAACACTGGTGTTCGAACCCTAAGTTCGAACACTGATGTTGGAACCTCAAATAGGTTGAAACACCAGTATTCGAACTCCGGGTTCTAACATCGGCCTCTAAGTGTTCGAACTGGAGTTGAACTGGAAGTTCCAATGTTCTACTTGGGGTTCAGCTCGAAGTCGAACTTGGTGTTCAAGTTCGGAGACAACTATAATGTTCGAACTCGAAGTTTAGAGCCTTGGTCCCGAACTTGGGGTAATATAAACTGTCTGATTTTGTGCCAAAAAGCTTCCTCACGAACTGGACCAGAGTCTTGAAGCTTTGCCAGTTTGTCAGAGCGGCTTCGATTTTTTTCCGACAAACAGCTTCTGAAACGCAATCAGCAGAACCGTGACAGTGACAGTGTCCAAGAGCAGCGTTTGTGGCGCTCCGTGCGTCACACAGCTTCCGTTAAAAACACCAAACTTCGACGCAGGGAAACAGAAATCAGAACCCGCACGAGGCAGGGACCCGCGATTGCGATGTTCTTTGGAAGCCGCAGATCAACTCTGTTTGCTGCAGTTGAGCAGCTATATTGCAAATGCCAGCAATTTCCTGACTTTTTTGTTTGAGGATCCACTGCAAGTCTCTCGGGCCCAACACTGCCCTTGGAAACTGGTCGTACTTCGCACTCGCAGTTCTGCGCTATTCTCCGCAAAGATCTTTCATACTTGATGCGGTGGGTGAACCTGGAGCATGGGTTTTTGCAGTGTTCTGGAACCCTGGGTTCGAATACAGAGGAGGGCCTAGGGGAGGCGAAGAACATGACACTAAAACTTAGGGTTTAAACGCCAAGTTCGATCGCCTGGAATCGGAGTTGAACTCCGGGTTCGAACGCAGTGTTTAAACTCCGAGTTCGAACACTGGTGTTGAACCCAGAGTTCAAACACTGGTATTCGAACCCCAGGTTCGAACACCAGTGTTTCGAATCTCGAGTTCAAACACTAGTGTTCCACACAAAATCGCTTTAGGCGGCTTTTAACGAAGAAAACAAAAAAGAGAAGGAACATTCACCAGTGTTTGAACCCCGAGTTCAAACACTGGTGTTCGAACTCCAGTTCGAACTTTTACAAAGGCACGAAATCGCTTTATGGGTGTTTTTTTGC